TCAGCCTTAACAAATTATTGGTGCAAAATAAAATGGAACCAAATCCAACGTCACATATGGGTCCGAAGTGGATATCATCTAGATCCATTTCAGATCAAAGATCTTTCTTTAAAAGCTGTTGGTGAGGTGATTAATGGAGATTCCAATGCCTCTGAATTAGGTGGAAATACGAGCGGGGCCATTTGCACTCGGCCTCTGAACAAAAGACCACACCAGGACCCTGTGCTACAATCAGGCTTATTGCAATATCTTCCGATGAGATCTTAAGAGCTCCTATATCAGGCTAACAGATGAAATTCTAAATTATAAGCCTTGGTGACGATTAAGAAAACACGATATCGGGGATAGCTAACGAAATGTAATCAAGCATAACAAATGAAACGAAACGAGTTTTCAAAGTAAACAGAATACACCCATCGCACCTAAACTAGACGGAAATCTAGTCTTTTTAAAACTATGCACTACAGCAAAAGGTCAGAATCCAACTCTAAATGTAGTTACATAAGCAGTTTTTTCACCAAACAATGTTTTCCAACTGAGTTCTGCCACAAAGACGAAGGTCTTCCTTCAATGCTTCTCTAGATCTCAATCATTCCTCTGCTGCGGGTGATTGACTGCAGTTTAAATGGGGGAAATATGAAGTGAAACCAAATCTCCAAAGTAAGAGCAAAACTCGTTTATCATGACGATTCAGACCTGCGATATCTCTCATTGACTGGGCTCTCAGCTTCACCACCATAGGGGTTGGTCCTTCTTTCTGCACGGTACTTGGGTTGGGACCACGACCATTCTCTGGGCTAGTTCTCTCCCTTCCATATGGGCTGTGGTCAACTCCACGACCATTGTCGGGAGTGGGCCTTTCTTTTTATATGGACCGCAACTAGGGGGCCTACCATCATTTTCAGCGCTTCGCTTCTCTCTCCTGTACGGGCCACGGCTAGGGCCTTGGTTATTCTCAGGGCTAGCCCTCTCTTTCAGGTAAGGACTTCGGCTGGAGCCATGAGCATGGTCCGAACCAACATCGAGGAGGACTACGGCTTGTAATCTGGTCATGCTCGGGGGTATCTCTCTCTCTCTTATGGTGAATTGGACTGTGCCCACGACCATAATCAGGGCTCTCCCTCTCCTTCCTATATGGACTACGACTAGAGCCACGACCATAATCAGGGCTACCCCTCTCTCTTTGGTAAGGACTTGGAGATCGCCTTCTGTCACGACCTCTCTCAGGTGACCTACCACGAGTTTCATATCCATTTCGGCGATCATCGTCATCTGGAACGGCATATTCTACCGAAACAACTCTATCCATCAGCTTGCTACAAATAGACCAGAAACCATGGTTCATGAAAAATAATAAAATTTACTGAATATCTTTTAAATAAAGGAGTGAATGATTGGCAATTCTTCTTCGAAGTTAAGTGATCTACCTCATATTTGTAGCCTCCAATGCTCTGATGGCATCATCCTGGGAATCATATTGTACAAATGCAAAATTCCTTTTGATCCTTACATTTACTATCTTTCCATACGACTCAAAGTGTCTTTCCAAATCCCTAGTTCGAGTGTAATATGGATCAAAATTGATGACAAATAGAGTCTTCGAAGGTCTTGTGTTGGCTGCAGATCTCCTTGAACCACCCCCACCACCCTCAGGCCTTCTAATGCCTCGCTCATGCTAGAACAAAAAAGTAGAAAGGAATTTACTAAGATGAGAATGGAAAAAAAACACAGTTTAACAATCTCTGCCAAAAAGCCAATACCAAATCATTACCTTTGTCAATTCAACACGAAGCCTACGTCCTTTGTGACCAAATTCTGTTCGATCAAGTCCTCGGATAGCATCTTCAGCATCTCTCTCATCTTCCATATAGATGAAAGCAAATCCTACACACCAAAAAAAGTTGGGACTCATTAGGAGTTTCACAATGGTGGAAAATGATTAACTAAGTTGGGACTTGGGATGAATCCTCCCACCGAAGGAATCTTCTCAGTTGGTGTTTACTCTCCAGCAAGAAACAAACCACCTAAATGATGCCCTAGGACTAAATTTTGGTAAGCTCCTAACAATATATAAACTAAGACCAGTGAAAGTAGTAACAGACCTTGTGTGATGAACTAAGCGATGTCAAGGAACAAGAATCCAAAAATGGATCTTAGGTAGGTCAAGGAATTACTGTGCCTTCTCCATATTTTCTGTAGCCTCTGCCATGAGGTCAGTAATGTTTCTACCTTGAAACATGTCTGAATTTGAGGGCTAGGAAAAAGTCATGAGGAATGAAATGAAAAAATGCCCGAGGAAAATGATGGATGATCCACGACATTGCGGATTAGAGTGACTATTCTTGAAATCAAAAAGAGGAAGATCGTCACATGCATGAAACAGAACTCTGAGGAGCTCCTCCATTAGGTCCCAAGAAAATCCTGCGCCAAAGAAAATGTTGAGTATGGGTGCTTATTATTATTTTTTAAAATAGTTTTTCCTTAAACATCCTGGACCCCCAGTAAAACTCAACGAAGGATGATTGACGCTGCTGAGTCGAGTACTATGAGGACATACTGTTGTGCAACCATCATGATAGGGATCATCACCTTAATGCTCTGAAAGTAGGACAATTGATATTCCTCATTGCTGCAGGAACTTTATCTCACCTCGAAATGTGCATACATATTGCTATATATTTTAATTTTTACAGGCATTTACAATTAAAGAGTATTATCCTTGCGTTAAGCATTCAAATTAAGCTAGTTTTTAATAGAGTATCGAGATTATACTTGCAAAATTCAAGTTCAGCACACAAAAAATAGCTTGGTTTCATTTACACATTGAAACTAAAAACCATGAGGAATAGATTTTTAACTGTGATATAATTGATAAGAAAACAACTTTTTAAGGTCAAAATACTTTCGAGTTTTGACACATTTATAACCAACGCATCCAGCTAAATAGAACCAATAGCAAGAAAAAAATAGGACAAAAAAGGTAGCAGGGAATGATGCTCACGATTCTCACATGGAACCAATTGCCAATAACGTGGATAATGAGAAACAATACTTACCATACTTCATATCTACTCTTTCAACTCTCCCAAATTTTCTAAAGAGTCGTTCCAAATCAGACTGGCGTGCATCTTACTCAAAGTTTCCAAAATGGGTCTCATATTACCTGAGCAGAAGATATGACAACTTTCCATCAGTATTTCACACACACACATACATGTATACAAGCACAAACAAACTTATGAAAGAACAAGTCAAAACTAGAGCGTGAACTATCAAGTAGTAATGCACTCTAACATGAACAATACAGAATGAGCAAGGCAACGACGCCAACAAATATTTGAAAGCTATTTAATAAACAATGAGAGAGCAAACAGAAGATAACTGACAAGACAAGGGGACCTTCGCAACTATTTGAAATATAGAATTGAGGTCATTCCATAAACAGATTCCAGAAGAACAAACTTTCTCTAAATGAATTACATCTCTCATTATTTATATTTCTATCCATCACACAATAAAAAGAAAATTATAACCGCAGCCTAGTGAATGATGTTTTTGACGTCTTTGAAAAGAAAGGGTACCTAAAAACAAAATTATAGTTATTGGATCTACATCAAGAAAAATGAAACCAGACATCAACCAAATCTAGAATAAGAATATACAAATCACATATCTGCGCTAAAATCTTCTCTTAGATGTTAAGACAACAAATAAGGTGGAATAAAATATTGGAACTGAACAAATAAATTAAATTAAAGGAATCATAGAAAATAATTTTTCCTTCATGTTCAAGTTTTTTCATGGAAAATAAATCAGACGGCTCCGGAAATTAAAATTAAATACAATTTGATCACAGAGGCGATGGTTAGTGTACGGAATTACCTTTGCAGTAATGATTCCAGAAAGAACAAAAATCAAGGAAAGTCAGAAACCCTAGTGAAGGAGCCTTGCGATATTTTTCACGAAATGAGCTAAAAATAAACTCGTGAGTCAATAAATAGAAGGTGAAAATGACTTCATTTATCTCGAGTCCCCAATTTTGAGATATTGACGAAATGGCCTTTATATATTAATCAAATTCTAATTTGACCACAATACTATTCAATATTTCATTTTAATCGGGAATAATTTTCAAAACTACGCATCAACTTTGATAAAATATTTTATACAATACATGTAATTTTTTTAATATAACCAATAGTATTTGATTCATTGATTGATTAAGACAAAATCGGAAGAATCAAACTTATGTCTCAAAATTTTTAGAATCGAGTCATAACTTAATTCATGAGTAGATCTATTTATTTAAATATATATATATATATATAATTAAAGGTAATCTAAACAAAACTAAACTCTTAAGTCTAATTCTAAGCCCAACCCCAAAAAAAAATAAACTCCACGCCCAATCCTAATATAAGTCTATTCTTAACCCTAAATTAGCCCAAATTAAACACATACTTTATATAACCTAAACAAACATCCAGCCAAAAGATATATAATTACATCCAATTTAGACCCTAATGTATTTTTTTTTGGCAAAAAAAATCAAATGTGCTTATATTTTTGAGAAAAAAAATCAATGTGACCTTCATATTATTATTTTTTAAATGTGGTTCTTTCACTTAGAAAACAAATTTAATGGGATCATTTGACCAGTCTTTTTCGTTGTTTGACCGTTACGGTGCTGGTGTGATGGTCCACGGTACTAACTTTGCAGTCTATCTGTCATGTTTGAGTTATCAATTTAACTCATCTGTCATGTTATCATCCACCGTGATTTACTACATCAGCACTATAATAGTAAAAAGGCCACATTAGGTTTGTTTTATGTGTTGGAAAACCGCATTGAGAGAAAAATTAATACAAACTCATATTGGTTTTTTTCAAAAAGTATAGGTACCTTTTTTGACTATATTTTATTGTTGAATTAATTGGTTATGAATATTCGAGATTAACAATAATACAAGTAAATAGAATTTATTAAATGATCTTAATAGTAAAAGAAAACGTTATTTTTTTATCTAAATGACTCGAGTTTGAATAGATATACATGCAGCATTAGTTTTACGAAAAAATGAACTATAAACATGGTATGTATAAACAACAAATTACAATAACATATTGTTATTCTGGTTTGAAATTGGCATGGTTTCAGGGTGAATTAGATAAGGTGATAACAGCATTGAGCTTGGCGAGGCATTCGGTAGGTAAGCTGAGGAAAGAATCCATGAAGAAATCATGAATAGGCTCAACAAATGCCACCCCTACCAATTTGCATTTCCCTTCTTCATCCAGCCTCTCACCTCTCCCGCCTCTAATCTTCCCTCTCGATTCATCGGACGTTAAAACAGTCTTCACCAGCAACGGCGGGGCTTTATAAACGCTCCCAACGGAGAAGCAGAACTTGGCCAAGAATTCCAGCTCAACCTACAAAGCCGAACGCAAGAAATCAACAACGAATAAACATCCCAAACCCATTACAAATTTTGTTACCTTGCCGGAATCCTGGTTGATATTCCCTTGAAACAGTTGAGGAACGATGTCGATTTTCAAAAACGGTGGCAAAGGCAGTCCGAGGAACTTGGTTGTTGAGGTTGTCAGTGGTGGGATGTAGAGTGTTTCAATGTCGAAATCAACTGAGAGTTCACCGGCGCCGTCATCGTCGACCTTTGAAGCGGTCCCGGTCCCTGTTCCACCCACGGCGTTGTACTCGAAGTCGGGATACCTGGAAATTCCAAGCTTGCAAGCTCCCAGGGTCTTGAAGCTGATAGTGTAAGTATCGGCAGTGGAAACAGCTCCTCCGCCTTTGTCCGGTGCATAAGAAGAGAAGGCAATTGTTTTTTTCCTAAAAGAAGTTGGTGTTCCGGCAGGGAGACGGCACAAGATTGGTGGTTCCATGGAAATCGTTTTACACCCCAACCCCATCGTTTTTGCTGGGAATTCGAAGCTCGGGTCTGCTTGTTTTTTGAGTTCAGGAGTTAGAGAAGAAGAACCGAGGATATCGAAAGATGAGGCTGGTATTAGTCGGAGTGTCAGGACCTCATGTTTTACGCTACGGAAAAATCGTAGTCTAATTATAGATTCTATCCCTCCACGTTGCGCAAATTGATAAATTAGTCATTTTATTTGGTTAAATAATCCACAAGGCCCTCTACTTTTTGAGGAAAAAACTTGTCACATCTGAATTTATTTTGAATCTAGTATAGGTTTAATACATATACATTGATAACTTCTAATGAATTAGTAGTTAGCACCATGATACAAGTTAATTAAGATAGCATTCACCAGATGAAATGACAATACATATTAACAAATGGGGATCAGATACATAAATAGGGGAAACTGATACATAATATTACACCCGACTGTTCAAACCAACCTGGAAAAACTTTATACATGAATCAAAATCCCAGCAGCCACGACTTTGTTACTCTCTCTCTACCTATTTGCATCTACCAATTAAAACGCCAGAAGAGCAACGATCCGACTGACATGACTCTCCTTTAACACTTTGAATTAAAAAAAAGCCGATGCTATGCACCGGGAAGCGGAAATATGAACTCGGAACGCCACCTAATATGATAAGAATTAGCTATAGAACACTTTCGACATGGAAATGCAGTTTATGCGAACGTCAACCTGCAGCTCAACACACAAGAGATGACCAGAGGGATGTGGCGGTTGGGAGATTCGTGCATGATGCCCACCGGATAACGGATTCTGACACCATGAAATCGAGTTGTTTTCGTTCGCCTTGACCGACGGTGCGGTTCCTCTTGCTGTTGAAGGCCAACGACAACCTAGACCCGCTTGTTCCTGCTGTCCTTCCAAATTCAGCTGTTTTGTTCTCTTTTTCTCTTGCCTCGGGACCACAGCAAAGCTGAGAATCCGGTAATACGAGCACCTTATCCAACCCTGGCACTCATAAGAGATGCAAGACATGATTTCAGATACCTCGTGTATGAGAACAAAAATCATACAGATTTGTAAGATGGTTAGCACAAATTACCTCCATCTAATCTATCCATCTGAGTGATGTTGGTCGAGAAATCTGATTTGCAGCTCTCTTATTCAACCACAGAACTATGACCGAAGAATGCAAAGCTCGACATTGATGGAATGACAGAATGAAATTCCAAGGTATCAGAATTACTACCGTGGAAAGAAAATCCACAATGTGCGAAGCAAGGCGTAGATGGCTCCACCATGGAAGAAGAAAATGATGTTCTCCGTGTTAATGTGGGTGACCGAACATCATAAATGATTGGCGGCCTGCCACCAAAGCTGATATCCTGATCCCTGAACATAGAAAATGAGCCACTACAAAACTCCAACTCTCCGCAGCTTTGGCATACAAGCTCACTTGATTCTTCATGACAAGATTCATCATTCTTCATCCATGAATGGTCTAAAAGGAAATGACATGACGTTAAGCTCTTCGTTGAAGAGGGAAATTTCCAGTAACATGCAAGAAACGAAACAATCTGAGGTGACTTCTTGGCCTCCATATATCAGTAAGCCCAACAGGTAACTTGATTAAATTTAAGAAAGCTAGTATTAAAGAGCTACCGGGGTTGACCCAGTTGCTCATGCGCGGACTTTACTTATACATACTTCTACTTACTTTAATTGCCACGAAAGATAATGATTAAACTACAATCCCAATCCTATTTGCATGCACCGATAAATTTACGATGAGCGTTTGCAAGGATTCCAACGTAACTAAAACCTGAAGTGCAGTGAGCCTCTGCGAAGGATCGGTATTGAGCATTCCCCTGACTAAATTCTTTGCAGAATCAGAAATGTGATCCCAAGGATCTGATGGGAACTGCTAATCGGCTGCCCTCACAGCATCAAATATCCGTGATTTCGTTTTACCCCAAAATGGCAGTCCCGCTAAGAAGTATGTAGAGAATCACCCCAGCACTCCAAATATCAGCAGCCTGATTATATCCCCCAACTAAAACCTCAGGTGCAATGTAAAATGGACTTCCGACCGTCCCTAGCAAACACTGCCCTGTTGGTAACAAACACCAAAATGGTTAAAAACAAAAGAATCTCAAAATTTTCAAGGATGGATGTTCTTGGTTAGAGAAATGAAAAGAAAAGGTATAAAACTCTACCAGACTCAATATATGTTGCAAGACCAAAATCTGCTAGTTTGATTGGTGACGATGACGCTTTTGTAGCTAACATGATATTCACTGGCTTTAAATCTCTATGCACAATCCCGATTTCATGACAACATAGGTAAAAGGATCACTTGCATCAGATGCCTGAAGAGAACTCCAGCATCTGCCTCGGAAAAACGGCCATACCTCTCTAGCCGGTGAAAAAGCTCCCCACCTGCACAAAGCTCCATAACTAAATGAACATAGTCTTCATCCTCATAAACAGCCTTGAGATCCACAACATTTGGATGCCCTAATAGCCTACTCATTATTTCGATTTCAAGCTTGACACTCCGCGCATCATCAGAGGTTACCAATCTATCTTTAGATATCGACTTGCATGCCAAAACCTCTCTTGTCAACTTATCCGAGCACAACCTAATAACACCAAATTGACCCCAACCCAATTGCTCCCCAAGAATGTATTGATCCCTCAAATTTGCGGTTTGGTTAGTCTCCAAAATCGTTTCACTCAAGCCTGCAACTTTGTAGCAATTACACGGCTGCTTTAACGTTTCATTGAAGCTGCAGCCATAACACTTTCCAGACGTCCGATCAATCGACGATTCAAGATGTCAGCTTAATACCAAAGGTTTCCCAGCAGCTTGTAACAACTTAGTCTCCCTAGGAAACAAGCTAGTCAAATTCTAATTGTCAAAATTTTGATTTATGCATTTCTATGTTCACATAGCTCTTACCAAATCCAGACTCGAGATCAAGACTCCTTAAACATAAGACTTTCATGGGTAGTGGTTGAACTTTGACAGCAAAACTTGCCTCGAAGAACACGGTACCAGAAATCATGACGAGACTATATCAACCCCAGAACACCATAATCTTAAATGCACACCTGAAAACTCATCTTAACTCAATTAGATTGCCTGGATCTGCAAAAGAATTTGCAATTATCATATTACAATCAAGCACTTTAGTTCAGCTCCAAAAAAAGCAACAATAACCCATCACCTAAAAAACCAGCAAAACCACAAAACAAAGCCAAATTCAACAAAATCCCATAAAAAAAACTACCTTGAAACAAAGCACCCCCGATCCAAAATGGTTCCTTTACACAGATAGAGAAGAAAAAACCCCAACTTTCAAATTTAACCATCAATCCTAAAACACTACAAAAACTATATAAAGAAAGATACAAACCTGGCAAGATATAAACACACACACACACACAGAGCACCACAGAAGAAGTCCGATGGAGCAGTGATAGAATGCTCACCCCAAGACAGACCTCTCTCTATATCTGTGGCTCTTTCCTTTTGTCGTTTTTGTTCGGATCTGTATATTCAAATTGAAAGAGTATCACATCGGACTCGACGTTTAAGTTTAATCCTTTCTTTTTGTCGTTTTTGTTCGGTTCTGTATATTCAAATCGAAAGAGTATTACATCGAACTCGACGTTTAAGTTTAATCCAGCTTAATTATATGCTTGAATAATTCAAACTCATTGGATTTGTATTAAAATATCATAAAATGAATAATATTTTAATATACCATGTAAATATTTCAATATTTTAAGGAACGATTTCGAGATGAGTTTCACCTATGTACTTTCCATTGAGGCCTTTAAGCTTGCCGGTTGATTATACACCTCTTGAATTTCCCATTACAATATATGTTCCACTCTATTCTTCTCTTACATGTTGGTGAAGCAAACTCTTAAACCAAATGATCTGATGTGTTATATTAACCTAATGGCTAAGTTGTGAAGCTAGTGACTTTGTTATTTCACACGTGGTAACTCTTGTAACGAACTGAATGTGAGTTTTTCACTGTTCCGAGGACTTACCTGGAGGAACTGCAGTAGTAGTTTTTGCAGTTGGTGACTTTGTGTACTCTTCTTGAAATTGTTAAAGTTGAAGCTTATGTGAAGGTATATGTGCCATTAAAGGCACAATCTGCTTTATAGTTAGTTCATAAGATGTGGATGGTTTTATTCCAACTTCGATTAAGAAATTGTATCAAATAGGCTTACATATACAAAAGGGAAAGGGACTCAACGTATGCCTTTGGTTCAACTTTAGTGCCTAACGTTTATTTCGTTATAGTTTGGTGCCTAACGTTTCATTCCATAACTCAAATTGGGTCAAGCCTTAACGGACCGTTAATTTTGGCTATTAAGTGACACATGTCACAATCTGATAATTTTAAAAAAATTATTTAAAATTAAAAATATTAAAAATATATATATATTAAAAAGAAAACATAAATTTTGAAATAAATCCAAAACTTTGAAAACCTTCATTTCAACCCCTAAACTCACGCCGATAGTGACCTTTTGCCGTCGATGAAGCTCCACCCGACCTCCCCTCCGCTCAGCGACCAAAACCCCCATGAAATTGTGATCGATCGACAGTAGATCGGTCGTCGGAATTGCGTGGGATCACGATTTTCATCCTAGGGTTCGTGGGGTATAAAACGTTGATTCGTCATCAATCGACTGTCGATCGATCACGATTTGATGGGGTTTTGGTCACCAAGGGGTGGGTAGGTTGGGTGGAGCTTCGTCGACGGCAAAAGCGGTGGTGGACATGGGTTTAGGGGTTGAAATGAAGGTTTTTAAAGTTTTGGGTTTATTTCAAAATTTTGTTTTCTTTTTGAAAATATATATATATATATATATATATAATTTTAATTTTTTAATTTTAAATTAAAATTTTGAAAATTAACAGGTTTTGACATTTGTCACTTAACGACCAAATTAACACCGTTGACGGCCAGGGAACCTAGATGAGTAACGGAATAAAACATTAGACACCAAACTGAAACGAAATAAACGTTAGACACTAAAATGCAACCAAAGGCATACGTTGGGCACCTTTTGTATATTTAAGCTTA